TTTGGACTTCTGGCCTCCAGAACTGTGAGAGAATATGATTCTGCTATCAGCCACCCAATTTGTTAGAGCAGCCACAGGAAACCCATACATTCTCCACACACACACCATCTCTGTTAAGCCAAGGTTTGGGCTCAACAACAAAATCACGGTTTCCACATGGGCCATGGATAGAATACCACTTCCACACACAGAGAAGAGACAGCAAGGCCAGCTTCTGTGGTTGGGCGTTGGCCCCCAAAGTCAGAGTCAGTCCTCACAGTTGATGCAGGGAGAAGGTCCACAAGCACCCTTTCTCATGCAGCAGCAGATGGACCCTGTTCCCTCCCCACCAGGAACACATATGTTAGTGGGGTTGGCCAGAGGCAGTATGACGGGCACACAGGAACAGAATAAAGGTATTCACTAGGTGCCACACAGGGACAGAGTCTCCCTGATGAGGAAGAAGAAGAAACCAGGACAGAGAGAGTCCAGTCCCCAGCTCAGTTCCACAGGGAACGCTCCATGCCCAAGGCAGCCTGGGTGACAAGCACAGGGGCAGTGGGGCCAACTGCCCTTCTAACAGGCTCCTCTGGCTGAGCTATCCCACCTCTGTCCTTTACTCTGACTCCCAGCTGGAGTCTGCTCCTTCTACAGTGCCCTTCCCCTCCCTGATCCTAACCCCACTCAATTATTTCCCTGTCACAATTACCCACTAGGCCGTTCGTTTGCAACCTGTACCCAGTTGTCTACCCATTACTGATTCCTCATGGCTGTCCAGAGTGTGGGCGGGCTGGCTGCAGTGGGCACCGCTGGACTCTACTGGAAAGGGACAAAGAAATCTTAGGATGAAAAAGCTTTGGAATTAAACCGTGGTGCTGGCTGCACGACATGGTGGATGTAATTAACATCCCGGAACCGTACACTTTAAAATGGTTAGCACGGCAAATCGTATGTTAGATATAATTTACTATGATTAAAGAAAGAAAAGAAATCTTTATTTTTTTCTCCTTGTTCAGACTGGCTTTCCTAATAGCCAAGCTCATATGGGAACTTTGCACTTTATCTATCGGAGTCCTATTCAAAATTGCCAATGAACACCACTAGGACTGCTCATGAGTTTAATTGGTTTCCTGTTGTATTGGGTCCTGCTGTGGAGTCAGAACAGGGTGAGGTTCATTTGGCCCCTAGCAACGGGCTGTAGCAAAACCTCAGGGCTGCTTCATCAGGGACCAATGAGTACAGAGAGCGTATCTTTAAACTGCAATTACCTTTCACAACCATCACAATCAAGGAGAGGAGGCCAAGGAGGCAGTACACCCACTCCAAGAACAGCTTCCTTTGTGAAAGGCAGCACCCGAGGGCAGGCTTCCCCAAGTCCCCCTGGGTAGGCCACCCGAGTGATTCCTATTCCAAGGATGAACTGGCCCCTTATGGCATCTCACGACTTCTGCTCATGTGGGTCCTGGGGACAGTACTTACTTACCAAACCCCAGTGAAGTTGGTGATGATTTCAGGGTATGGTTTAACAGCGCCCCCAGCGTTGGACTTGGGGAACAGCTGATTGTTATCCTCACCAGGAACCCAAACACAATGGGGCGGGCTTAGTTCTTCAAAGACCAGAGAACCCATGTAAGCACAAGCTGCGGCAGCTCCAGCTCACTGTGTAAACGGTTCAGACTCAGTCTTTTAGAAATGTCTTAACACATTCATCCCCTCCAGCGACCCGATGAGGTAGGCAATACTGCTCCTCTTTCTTGGAGGAGGAGGAAACTGACGAACAGAGGTGTTAGCCTGTTCAATGTTGAACAGCTCATTAAGGGAAGGGGCTAGAGTTTGGGTCTGAGCTGTTAGCTCCTGAGCCTTAGCTCTGTCACTGCTAGGACAGACTCAAGAGGCTTTGAAGTGCATGAGAAGGAGGACAGGGAGCCTTCAGTGGACACCAGACTGCCTGGTCAGCCCTGTTCACAAGTCTCGGCTTCTATGGGCTCTGCCCTTACACTGTCTGTGAGTTGATTCCCAGCTTGGCCAGGTGTAGATACTTGTAACAATGCAAATGAGTCTTGTCCCCGGACATGCACATGAAGTCTGTCAGGCAGAAGAACAACAAATTTTCCACCCATACCCCCCACAGCCAGTTCTGCACCGAATTGTAAAGACTTCATTACAGATTCCTATACAATTCTGAACTCTCCTTTGAGTTGGCCGTAATATCTTACTAATTCCTGGACTAATTGACAAGTTACGTATAGTCTGACTCACATTCACTTTATATTTGTATATTGTTACTGTTATTAGGAGTCCTGTGTGGCGCTGACTGCAAAGTCAGTTTGAAGTGCAAGGTTGGCGGTTCAAGTTCACCAGCTGATCCTCAGAAACGTTATACAGCATTGTTATGGGTCAGAACTGATACGACGGCACTTCACAAAACCAGCAAGTGTTGTTAAGTGCTATTGAGTCGGTTCTGACTCTTAGTGACCCTGTATAGGATTTCCCAGGAGTAGATGGTGAATTTGAACTACTGACCTTGTGGTTAACAGTCCAGTGCTTATCCTACAGTGTCATACCAGGATTCCTTATATTTGTACAAAGGCATGAGTCTACCATTCATTTTTGGTTTTGCTTGTAATTATCCTTTATCACTACTACTGTCTACTAAGAGCTAGGTATGAAACCAAATGCCAGGGGTACAAAAATCCTCAGTCCAGAACCTCATTCTAACAAGAGGGCATCTAGCTGGGGAGACAGGCACATATGTAAATATATACACAAGGACAGCTTGTGAAACATGATATTCTGAACTAAGTTCATATACTTCTAGGGATCACCAACAGATTCAGTTAAAAAAAAAAATCAGACATGTATCTTCAGTTTTCCTGGGATCTGGCCCCACAAATGGGAATGTTGAATGTTAATGAGCCTTCTAAACACCATGTTAGAAAAACAATACAGTTAAGTCATTACGCTGGTGGGGATCACATTTAAATATTTAAATGATCATATTTTTCTTTTCTTTCTTCTTTTTTAAGTTCTGGTTTTTCTGCAGCTAGGAACTTGTGACTTGGTGGGACATTTTTGATGGCCCGGATGCAGGAAGCTCTGTACTTAAGTAGCTTAGATAGGAGTCAAGTTGAGTCAATGCTCGACTGTTTCACATCTATATCCCTGAACATTTATATACTAAAATGAAGGTCAAAACCCAACATTTTTGGGAAATGTGAGGGTTAGGGTGGGTTCCTTTCCTCAGGCATTTTCTGTAATTATAAGAGACTGTGATTGATGCTAAAGCAGAGGCATGGAGGAAGTGTGTGTGTGTGTGTGTGGTGGGGGGGGTTGTTGGCACAACAAAGGAAACCATTGACTTTGTTGGACATTTCTGGTAGCCTCGGGTAAGGAGGAAAGGAGGTGAAGGAAGGACCAAATTCCATGAGAAAGTGGGAAGGTCGGAAGCAGGCTGAACAGGGGAACTGGACACAGGCTAGGCGTGTCCCCAGCCTTTCCCCTTGGCTTTGCCTGGGGTGGAGTAGAGGTGCCCAGGGCGGACAAGCTGGGGCCAGGCCACAAAAGGCCCCCGTGCTCATGCACAGGAAGCTTGGACTTATCCCCAAAGCAACTGGGGACCTAATCAGAAAGGCTTTTGATGCTGGAGAAAGACCCTTCAGATCTGTGCTTTAGAAAGATGGCTTAGTTCTAGTGTGGAGAAGCAGGGGAAGCTCAGGATTGGACATTCCTAAGAAGCTGTGGGTGGGGTTCAGTGTGAGCCAAGGAGGCGATGCAGGTTTCCAGTGTGGGCAACTGGGAAGGTGGCCATGTGCTTAACTAAGATGGTGCACACAAGCTACGCAGGAGTGGGCAAAGGCTAGTTAATTCCAGGTGCTCTAGAAGACAGGTGGTCATCCCAGGTGAGACAAGAGACTGGGACTTAAGAACAGGAGAGGTTGAGAGTGGAGGTACAAGTGTGTGAGATGCAGGTCTGATTCACTGTTAAGAACTGTGCAAAAGAGCTAACACCATAGCCAGAGACTGCTGCCCTTAGAAAGGCCTGGGCACTATGGTCCCTAACTGATGTAAAACTTCCCCTAAGTACCAGAGGCTTTGTGTCAACAATGTGGTTAACAATGTGGTCCTGCTCTCCTCTTGGGATCGTCTACATGAAGGTCCCCCAGCAAGAACCTGGGCACTGAGTCTCAGTGAGCTCCTGGTGGGCACTTCACATGTGTGGTCACAACTCAGTGCTGGGGGATTAGTATGAGGTACGTGACCTCATGGGGAGAGTACTCTGGAGCCTCATGTGGTTCCCCCTGGACTTGATCCTGCGGGCCTTTCCCTCTGCTGTAGTTAAGCCCTAGTAAATGATTAGATCTGGGAGTGGTGTCAGGGCAGAATGCAGTCACAAAATTTTCAAATAACCTAATTAAATTGAGTCCAAGCTGAAAAAGAAAGCCCTCAACGAGCAGGTCTGACACAGTGGTTACAACAATGGGCTCAAACATCCCAGTAGTGAGGATGGCGCAGGACCAGGGGCAGTTCAGACTCTTGTACACACGGCTGCAGCTAGCGACAAGTCAAATGGCCACCCCTGCCGTGTATATATATATACAGACAGACAGAGTATATATGTCGAATATCCTAGACCAATGTCTTCCAAACTTTTTATCAGCCACAGAATTCTAATTTATGTAAAACTTAAAAATGAAACTGCTACCACTTATTAACTTCTTCCACGAAGCAGCGTTCCGTCAGCATAGAAAGTGTACCTCTTTCATTCATGATGCCATCCCCAGCACCTAAGCCAACACCTGCACCCAGTAGAAAGCTTTCAGTAAATATTTCATCAACGGAATTAAATAATTTAGGGTTTGATGAATGAAATTTACTTAATAAGATGCCAGCGAAGTTAGTTTGATGAACCAAAAAGCCCCCTGATTGCACTTGGGAGTACAGCTGACATCTCGTGTTAGACTCAGCATCATGCAGTTCAAATGAGAAACTCACAGAACCCCAGAGACCCCCGTTTTTCTTACCGACTTGTTGTTTGGAAGCAGGAGTGTAAGCTGACCAGGAAGGGGTTGCTGGATGCTTGCTCAAACACGTGCTTCTCTGTCTGTACCCAGTCGATGTCCTGAAATAGACACAAGGGCGTGCTAATGAGGCTCCTGAACACCCTCAAAGGCATCCTGGAGGAGGAGGCACCAATGGAGGGCAAGTTGCAGCTCTGATTGTGGGAAGACAATGAACAAAGGAAAAGAAAATGTCCATGAAGAAATGTGCCGCCACCATTATTGCCACATGGCACCTGCTCCACAACCCTCATCATCTCCACCGGCCATCCTCCATTACCACCAGGATCTTTAGCAGATTCTTTCACCAGATCATCCATCATTATCTCCATCACTATAACCTACTACTACCATCACCACCTCCATCACCAGAATCTTTCAACACTATCATTCACCACCGTAACCTTGCACACCATCACCACCATCACCACCAATCTCTACCTCCATCATCGTAATCTATTAGCAGCAGCAGCATCACCATTTCTATCACCATTCTCAATCACCACCAGCATCCATTATCATCCTGACCACCACTGTCATCACCATCACTGGCAAAACCTATCACCACCAGCATCCATCAGCATCACTCATCAGCCACCTCATCGCCACCACCATTATCATTTTATTATCTCTACCAAACCACCACCACCACCATCTCTACCAACTCTCATCCATCACCATCGCCACCAGCTCTAGCCACATGCTGGACTCTCCCAGGGCACTGCTTCATGTCATCCCCACAATAGCTTTGGGAGGCCACTATCACTATCTCCATTTAAGACACGAAGAAACGGATGGTGGAGAGGGCAAGCAGATTCCCCGCGGTCCCACAGCTAATGAGTGCTAAGCTGGGAGGCAAGCCCACACCCATCTCCAGAGCACTAGTTCCAAGTGACAGGGCTGGCTCCCTCTCAATTCATGCAGAATTGTGGTAAAATGCTACAAAGTAAAAGTCAACTTTAAATCATGATTTCACTGCACTGACTCTGTGCCAACTTCAGAAAGCAGAGCTGGACATGGCCCACAAACTTTCAAGGCCTGCCCTCTCATTTTTTTAAGGTAACAAAAGAGAGAGGGAAACAGATGCGTCTAAATTAGTGTTGTCTTCCTGCAAAGGTTTTGGGAAATCCATGAGCAAACTTTAAGGAAGTGTCACAGGCGGACCACCTCCATCTTTGCTCCCTTCTCCTTGGGTTTGTTTCTCTGAGCTACCACCCAACTGCTCCTTTACATCCCCACCGGGCATCTGGAACTACACAACAGGCCACACACAGAGCTCTTGACTCCATGCTACCACCTGTGTGCCCTACCTCCAGCTGTTACTGCTATTTATAGACCAGTTGTTTTTCTTTGCTCCTAAGAGATACAACTGCTTTTAGGTGTGAAGAATAAGATTAAAACTACACAAAGCAAACAGACAGGAAAGATGCTCAAATAATTAGTCATGTGGGAAATGCAGCTGAAAATCACAACGAAATACCACAGAATCCCCAGAGCGGCAAAAATGAAAAAGATAGGAAGAGCCTGGAACCTATGCTGTGCTTGTAGGAATGTAAACCAGTTCAGCCACTGTGGAAGATGGGTTAGCTTCTTGAGGAACTGCCGGACCCAGAATTACCATGTGCAGCAACGTCATTCCAGGTATATACACAAGAGCCCCGACAGCAGGGACTCCGTGATATGTGTCCATCCATGTCCAATGCAACACTAGTCACAAGAGCCAAAAGGTGGGAACAATGCACGTGTCCATGAACAGAGGAAGGCATAAACTCCATGTGGTCCATCCAGACAATGGAGTGTTCTCCAGTACATGTTATGATCTGGATGAACCTCGAAAGCATGACGCTAAGTGAAAGAAGACAGACACAAAGAATTCACGTATTATATGAACCCTTTACATATATGGTATGTCAGGAACAGGTAAAGCCATGGAGCCCGAGAGTGACCGGTGCTTTTCAGGGCCTGGGGGTGGGGGTGGTGGAGGGAAGAGTGACCCCTTTATGGGTCTGAGATCTCCCTTTGGGGATGAAACAGTTGCACAACTGAGACAATGTGCCTAATACCTCTGGATTGTAGACACTTTAAGATGGTTAAGATGGTATGCTTTATTTTGTGTGTACTTTACCACAGTTAAAAGGAAAAATAGGTACAAAGCCAGAATTAAGGCTCCCTCCCACAAATTCACAACTGATTGTATAACTCGAATTTCAACTTCTGAAAACACTGGCCCGAGAAAGTTTGCTCACACGAAGCTACCTACTACCACAGTCCCTGTCCATCCACAGAATTGTCTGTGAAGGCAGTCAAGCCTGGTGGGGGCCACGTGTGGACTACCTCTGTGCATCCTTCCTGTCATCTCACTCTCCTCCCCTGTGTCCCTGAGGAAGCAGGTCCCAACTGGCCCAAAGGAACTTCACAATGACAAAGGGTTGCGGTCACCCAACTCAACTCTTACTTGGCAACGCAAACATTGAAGACTTTCACTCTCCTTGCCCGGATCTATTTCATGAAAATCCACATGTGTTTATTGAAGGTTTGCGTGTTTATTGAGGCCTTGGAATGACTTCTTCAGGTGTGGGGATCCCCACAGCCCCCTGAAGTTCCCGCCCCAGTGACAGCACTGACCTCATCGTCATGGACCAGCTCCTTCTTCACCACCTTCATGGCATAGATCTGATCATTCTTTTTCAGCCGCACCAAGAGGACTTTGGCGTAGCTCCCGCGCCCAATGACTCTAATAAGGTCAAAGTCCTGTAGCCCGAGCCCCTGAGATATTTTGATTCCATCCATCCCATCAATAACGGGTTTGAGGTCCTGGGGAAGGAGAGGAACAGAAGAAAAGAGAAGGGAATTTTGGTGAGAATGAGGCCTCATTCATCCCAACCAACCAGGGCTCCAAGCCACACTCAGATTGTTGACTCTCTACTAAAGCCCCCATCCTCCAATCCAACTAAGGAAATAGAACGAAGAAATAAAGAGTGCGACCACCAGCCATCTGTCAGTTTGTCATCCCGTGGTGGCTGGCATCTTGCTATGACGATGGAAGTTTTGCCACCATCATCTCCAATACCAACAGGATCACCCAGGGTGGACTTGTTCTAGCAGAGCTTCCAGACTCAGAAGGAAGGCCTGTGATCTACTTCCCAAACTCAGTCCATGAAGACCCTATGAATCACAACACAACAGTGGCCACCTTGCTGACTTTGAAGATGTCACCACAAGGGATCAATTGCTAGAGGAGGACATGAGTTTGGTGAAGCGGAGGGACAGCGTTGATGAGAAAGGGCCCTGGTGACATGCATGGACTAACAGAAGAACCCCAATGTTGGAGTGGGTCAGTGACATAGGACCAGGCAATGCTTCATCTGCTGTTGTCCATGAGGTCACCATGAGTGGAATTAACCTAACAGCATCAAAGAGTGGAGCTTCTAAAGGAACGGAAGGAGCTACAATCCCAAAAGCTACTCATTGCTACTGATGTGGGTCTGGTACAAGTCACAGGTGGTCCTTGTGAACGGCATGGAATGCCCAGGGACCCCAGGTCCAGCTAAGGAGATGGCCAGGGGGCCCAGAGATTTCCAGTCATCTGGGCTGGACCATGGGAGCACCTGGGCCAGTCTTCCCCTTCTTGGGCTCCCCCTGCGGGGGATTACAAAACATAACCCGATGATGTCTACAAAGATCTACTAAACCCCAGAGCAAGTATTATTAGAAATCTATAATGAAAGAGCGAAATGATCCAATTAGAAACAGCAGCTTCCCTCCTGCAAATGGTTCCTGGCAAGGATCTCTGTGGTGGGCGAAGGGAGGGAGCTATATGCTGCTGATCTGTGGAGCAAAATGGATTCTGCATTCCTGGGATTTTCTGCCTTATTGGCACATACAGAAGGACCAATTAGAAACACCGAGAGGCTGGAGGGTGACATCAGTCAATCACTTTGGGAAAGGTCTCTGCAAGGTGGAGGAATTTCCTGAGGTTTTGTGGGAATGTAACAGGTGCTAGAACTGTGCATTTCAATTAGCATGAGCAGGTGGAGATGCCAGGCCTCAGATTAAGAGCCAGATGGATGTCTGCTCTGCTGACTGAGTGGAGAGGGTGCTAGAGAGATTATCAGACTACTCATGTACTCCTGATCAGATCAGGATCAAGGAATTAGACTACAAGTTGTCTTTGGGTACAGCAGCCTCTGGGGGACTTAGTATGGATGTACAAGACCTCATTGATGGCACAGAGGTCCAGAGGAAGATATGGTTGGTTCCCCAACTTTACAGAAGAGGAGCCCAAGGCTCAGGGTGGCTCCACAGCTCTTGACTCACAAGGCCACAAAGACCCAGCTATTGATCCTCGGCGTTCAGGTCTGCATCTCTGTGAATTGTACAATAAACACAGTATCCTTACCACCCACACACTCAATGGCTTATGTCTTGCCACAATCACTTACTCTTGGTCCATCTATCTGCTAAGCATGTAGTAGACGTCAAGAACTTCAACATGAAATGTCCAAGAACCAGGTTCTCTCCTAGATATCCACACCACCATTCCCTAACCTACTAGCCTACCTTTAAACTGCCACCATTGCCCCAGAATGAGGAGGAAAGTTGAAATATGGATGAACTATTTGACACACTCACCTCAGAATCATCTTTAAGGTTGTCATGTTTCCGGGATGAAGAAATATAAGCAACTAGTGAAGAGAGGGGAAAAACAGGGATGTTACAGTGCTGGTAGGAATATGACCAGAGAACACAGTGACTCCGTGGGCCTCAGATGGCCATGTCTGGCCCTCTACAAGGATGCAGTGGCCCAGGTCCAGTCAGCAGTGCCCAGGGCAAGGCCACAGAGCAGCCCCACTCATCCAATTCAGCTAGAGTATGATAGAAAAATGCAGGCTCCTGGGTACGCATCTGGAGGCAGGGCCTAGGAACCCACATTTGTAACAAGTTTCTCCTGGGACTTACCCAGAATTAACCAGTCCTAAGATTTTGGTGTCTAGTCTTCCAACCTTTTATCAAAGAATATGTGGATGGGTGATTAGATGGATAGACGGATGGACAGACAGACAGATAAATAGATGGATGGCTGCTTATCTGAAGTCTCCTTTGAGTAAGGTTCTGTGCTAAGTTTTCTATGTTCACTTAACCTGTAACCACCTCCCAAGGGGCCAGGAACTCACATCTATCAGAAGAGAGCTAGAGCTCTAACACATCAGCAGACAGTTTCAATTGTGAAAGCTTGGATTTGAGTCCACCTAGTGTTTGAAGTTTCTCCGAAGGCTCCTTAATGTTAAAAATCAAGCTTTCCTCCCAGGAAAACACAAGAAACACGTAAGTGCTACATGCAGAGTGGGGACTGGAGGTCTTGCCACAGCACCCAGGCAATGTGACAGGCATCCTGCGAGGACTTCGAAAACTCCCAAGTCTGCAGAGGGTCTCCCATGGTGGTATCCAGCTGCTCCAGGGAAGGCTGCCTCTGCCCACCCATCCCATCCCAAGTGCCCGTTCTCTGCCTGTGGATCTGTCAGGAGCACTCAGGTGAGGGAGGCCCTGGAGAGCCATCCCTGGACCCGTGGAGCCAGCAGGATTTGGGAGAAGTGATGACCAGAAAGGAGAGGTGGACAAAGTGACCCTCCAAAGTAAGAAGAGGCAAGGAAGCAGCAACCCTACTTCCATCGGTCTCCTCGGAGGGCAGGTCCACACCGTCGTTCTTGTCGTCTACTGGAGGTTCCTGGGAAGGCATGACAGAATCCTGCAGGGAGAAAGGCCCGTGAGAGCACGACCATGGGAGCCCCGTGCACACCGAGGAATCACTTCTCATGTCTTCACACCATTGCTCACATCATCCTGCACGGTCCGCTGGTTCGCAGCCCATGTAATCACACTGTTTAATCCCCACAACACACGGTCACCCCTGTACACACCCCGTGTAATCACACCAATTCTATACCCGCACACATGGTCACCCTGTACACACCCCATGTAATTACACCAATTCTATACCCGCACACACGGTTACCCTGTACACACCCCGTGTAATCACACCAATTCTATACCCGTACACACGGTCACCCTGTACATACCCCGTGTAACCTTACTGTTTCTACAACCACACCACACAGTCACCCTGTACACACCCATGTAATCACACCATTTCTAACATCACACCACATGGTCACCTCTGTACACACCCATGTAATCACACCATTTCTAACATCACACCACACCGTCACCCTGTACACACCCATGTAATCACACCATTTCTAACATCATACTACATGGTCACCCTGTACACAACCTGTGTAATCATACTGTTTCTATAC